TAGCCAGATACAGAAGAAGTTATGTAAAGATATTTAACATTATTTTCTGGCATTGTCTAAATGTGATATCCATTAAGCGAATATCTTTAAAACTAAGCAAATTTCTTTTGAATTTGCTAGAATAAAGTGTATTTTCAATATATAATTTTGTATTATCTGGTAAAATAATATAAGCTCTTCTGAAGCCTTCAATGATATTCGATGCACCTGATATCGTATTAACATCATTTTCTACTAATGTTAAGCTCAAAAAATATTTTTTGTTTTGAAAAATAGTATGTGTAGTTGTCTTATCAATCAAACAAGTATTTTGTCAATCCATAGTGAATCTATAAGAAAACATATATATTTTTTGAAAAAACTTGAATTTAAATTTTAAAAAGTAAACATAATTCAATATAATGAAATTAATGATGTATGATAAAGTTTCAATTTTTTGCGAAAAATAAGAACATAATTTAAATTGAATTTCTAAAACGAAAGAAAATACTAGAAAGTAAACTAATCTATATTTTCCATTACATCACCCACAATCAAATGGTCAGTATTCTCATTTGGATCAGTCTCCACTTTTCCCCTTCCCTTAATTTTTTTTTTTGGTAGAGATTCACAAGGTGTTTTGACGTATGACAAGTACGTGTTCAATGCTCTTTTATTTCACATCTAAAACAACTTTCTTCATGCTCTTTTTTGGATATGCTACTTTCGTTTGCTTTGTGTCTTTAAAAAATATCGCCTTGTTGGTGATAGTTTTGTTGATTATTTCGTCCATGATTTATTCCACGTGCACGTCCGTGTCCAAATCCGTGTCCACGTCCACATATGTGTCCACGTCCACATCTTTGTCTTGATATTATATTTTCTTTAGGCAATGCAATACCATTTGCTTCATGCAATGGTACAGAACTAGTTGGACGTAATTTATGATTTTTCATTAGCAGTTCATTATTTTGTTCAGCCACAAGCATGCAATATATGAGTTTTGTGTACTTTTTGAAACCACGCTCACGATATTGCTGTTGCAGAAGCACATTCGAGGCTTGAAAGGTGAAAAAAAATTTCTCCAACATATCTTCATCAGTGAATTTTCTTCCACATAAGATCAATTTTGAACATATTCTGAACAGTTTAGAATTGTACTCACTAATAGTTTTGAAGTCCTGCAAATGAAGATGCATTCACTCATAGCGGGCTTTAGGAATGACTATAATCATTTGATGATCAAATCTTTCAGTTATTTTTTTCCAAAGAACCTATGGATCTTTCTCGATGAGATCTTCAATTTTCAATCCATTTTGAAGAAGATGAGTGATTTTGCACGATCTTGCATGGATTCTTTGTTTACTTCTTTTATTGTCTATCACAAATCTTTAGAAATAAGATGGATATCAGTATCGAGTACCCATGAAAAATAGTTTTTGTCAGATATGTCAAGTGCAGCAAACTCAATGTTTGTGATATTTGTCATTTGATTAACTATACAATAAAGCAAAAAGAAATTCAATTAATTTCGAAGAATATGATTAAACATTGAGTAGTCAATATCAACATGACATAAGTTACGTATTTTTCTTTAGGGATAAACACTAATTTAAAATAATATGTTTTTCGAAGCATGTACTACTTTGGGAACATGATTTATTTTACTATTGCTTTTTCAAAAGTAATGTATCAATATTCTTCTTGAATATTGAAAATTATAATTCGTGTTCTTTAAGGGAAAGTAATATTCTTCTAAAATATTAATTATAATGTTGTACTATTTCAAGAGCAACAACATGATAAATTATCAATTTAAAATTTATAAAAGTACATTAAAAATATTTAATCAATTTAAAAATAATAATTACCGTATAGACATGATATAAATTTATTAATTACCAAATATGTCTTAGAAAAAAAATTAAAACTTGAATTGATTTTGGCAAAATTTAAGGCAGTACATGTAAACGACATGCAAACTTAATGATGCATGTATCAAAATTGAGTAAATACTAAGCATGAATTTCAAGAAAACGTAGTTATTGCATGAATTATGCTTGACTTCTTGTGTGCAGTGAATTATAAAACTGTTTAATCATTATGTGTGAATTAAAGGTTGTACCGAAAAACGTAATAATTGTGGCACAAATTGATACAAATTGACGGTGGCAGAATTAATGGTAAATAAACATGTCACCAAATTGATTTTGGTACACGTGACAAATGATTATACTTATAAAAAAAATTACTACATTCACTAAACTTTGAAAAATTAGGATTTCGTGCTGATAACGTATTGTGAAAAGAGAAGAAAGAACAAAAGTCAATAAACTTGTGTATATTATAATGAGAACCAAAACCCTATAATTATAGGGAATGATTAGTGATACAAGGATAATAATTTTTAGTATTGTAGGAGTACAATTGTCATTCATAAATAAACTTACCATTTACAACTGTATTTATATAGTCTATTGAAGATGCTCTAATATCTCCACTAATTGATATATACTCCATTTTCTTATTGTAGTATCACCTCTTCTACCTTATTTTCTTTAAAGGAAGAAAATTACTAAAGATACAAATAAAAGAGTACAACACTTGAGCTCCAAGAAAGACGTGAATCAATCTTAAAAGGAGAGTTGCATCACCTTCTGCCTTTGATGTCATCCAATCTTCCAAATTTATGTTTGGTAAACAATACTAAGGAGGATTCAACAGTATAAAAAATAAGATTTTTGGCTTATTTTTCTTGAATATTATCATATGTTAAGCTATCGTCTTTTCCGATGAATATACCCATAGAACAAATTGTTGTAGCTAGACCTAACTCTATCTTGCCCTCACTAGTCGCCAAGGCTAAGGGGTGGGTTAGCCTCGAGCATTTTGTTACACACGACTTGTGTTGTGCCAAGAGGACATTTTGCGCCAAAATAGCCTTAGATCGCGAAGGCATAGAGCCCAAACACTTAGTAAGAGATTCAAAGACTGTAGTTAACAGTCCTTGCTCCGAGGATTCAGCTTATAAGACTTTATGGAATGCAGCAGTGTAGTTAAGCTCATAACATCTACAACTACTTCTTTCAAATTCAAACCCAAGCTCCTACTCTTGCGTTTCTCTCTTTGTAACCCCTTATTCTTTCAAGGGCAACAATGTAACCCTCAGTTAGAGTAGAGTGACTGGGGCTATGGAGTTAATCCATTTTGGTTGGGTTGAGTAGATCATACAAACTATTTTTCGACTTAAAGATCAACTGCTCTTACTTTAGAGTTCTAGTGTTTCAATAATTTAAAAAAAATGGAGTTTCTATATTTTATATTAATATTTAAGTAATATAGTTTTTGATGAAGAATGCAACAAATCAAATATTTTTCACAATAAATATAAGATTGATGTGAAAAATAACGAAATATACCTCACACTATGTTTTTCATTCGAACTAGATGTGTGATTTGGATCTAGTTGTCACACTTGAGGGAGCTTGTCCCATATTAGGCTGGCCCATGCTTAGAGCTGACTGCAAATCTGGAGGTCGAGATCATGACAGGCCTAGCTTTTCAGCTTGATTAATATTTTTTATATTTAAAAAATTAAAAGTTATTAATAGACAGTGCAATATGAACCAACTCAAAATAAATTAAGGCCCTATTTGGGAGGAATTAAATTTTTTTACAGTAAATCAATTCTCATTTTCAACCATACATTTTTCAATAAAATAATATTTTCCATCACATCAATAATTTTTTCTTCTTTTTCAACCACACATTTCCCATCATATCACTATTCAAAATCAATTCTTCCCCCAAAAATCTCTCCCAAACAAACTCTAATAATGTTAAAGCATCTCGAACATGTTTCGTTTTACTTAATTTTAGAGAGTCAAACTTCTTTTTGAAACGTCCAATATACTCTCTATCTTTAAAACTTAAATAAAGAGTCGATATAACTCTCCAAATAATTTGATTTATTTAAGATAAAAAAAAATTAGGAAGATTCGGTTATTGGTCTAGAATTGATAATCGAATCAAAGTCTTCAATTCTCGATATAGATACCCATTCAGATATTTAATTTAAGAAGAATTGCTAGTTTCGATTCAATTCAGTTTAAGTTCGATTCCATCTACTGATTTGTCAAGCCCAAGAGAAAAAACAGCCTTATATTCATTCTTGCATTCTCCACCTGTCTTAACTACGGAAATTACTCTCATCCAGGGGCGGACCCAAGGGGGGTCCCGGGGGGGAGGGGGAAGGTGCCCCTCAACTTTTGAGATTCTTTTTTTTAATCACATTTGTTATCAATTGAAATTTAAATTTTAATCTAAATCAAAGTTAACAATTAATTTTAATAACATATTTCATGGAATCCATAACTGTTTAATTTGTACCAAAATTTACTAAAAATTTAATTTTAATCTTCACCAAATAGGGATAAAATCAAAATAAATTTGAATTTCGAAATATACAAATTTTAAAAATTCTCCGACAATCATACGCTAATCGAATTTACAAATTGTTTGTATCATTTCGAAACTTATTTCAAGAATTATATTATGGACATATCGAATAGTTCAAACATATATAGAAAATAGTTAAAAATACGTTAAACGTGAACTTTTAAAAAGACGTCTAATTCGCATTTAAAAAAAAAAAATTCAATTATTTCATTAACATTTATTATTTTTGCGATACAAATTTCTTAATGTAATTTTCATCATTTTATTAGGAAATTTTCAAAAAAATTTGAAATTTTACATTCGAAAAAGTCATATCCCATTTAAATTTTTGAATATAAAATTACATGAAGTATAATTTTTTTAGACATAATCAATTTTTTTGTAAGTTCAATTGTGCCCCCAACGTTAAATTATTGCGTCCACCCCTGCTCTCATCCCCACTTTATAGACCATTCAAAACTTTGTTTAGCTTCGCAGACAAGCATTTAATTGAAATCTGGGTTTTTTTTTCCTTCTCATAAAATCATTAATATCTGTAAATCTCAAGCTCAAGAACAGCAAAAATGTCGGATTTTTTGCCAGAAGGAATCATCATCAACATCCTCAAAAGACTGCCCGTCAAGCCCCTTATTTGCTGCATGTGCGTTTCAAGATCATGGTACACACTAATCACTAGCCCAGAATTTGTTTCCACTCATCTAAAATTCAGCGTTGCTAGCAGTGAAGGTTCCCCTCTGCTTTTACTAAGGCGTTGCATTAGAAAAAATGAGCGTTACGAGTTGTTCTATGATAATGAATCTTTTGATCGGCATTTTAGGCTTCAATTCCCCTTTAGAAGCATAAACTCATTTTTCACAATCATTGGTAGCTGCAATGGATTGTTGTGTCTTTCTGATGATCGGGTATTTTATATGAACACTATAATTGTTTGGAACCCGTGTGTTAAAAAGTCAGTTCTTCTTCCGAAACCCAATGTGGTATATAATTCATATGGTAGTTTTATTCTATCGCTTGGATTCGGGTTCGATCCTATTAGAAATGACTATAAAGTTGTTAGAATTACATACACTGATTTGGATAGATGCTTGCCTCAGGTTGAGCTTTATAGGTTGAGCATGGGAGTGTGGCAAGACATTAGTCGTTTGTCGCTTCAGTACATTATACATAATAGGTCACGCCAGGCTTATATAAACGGGGCTGCTCATTGGATTGCTCGTGACTTGTATGGAAATGATACGATTTTGTTGTTTGATATGTGCGATGAGGTGTTTGGGACGGTGATACTGCCTGGTAATCTAGCAAAAGATGATTTTCCGAGAAGTAAGGAATTGATGATCTATAAGGAATCACTTGCTTTCGTTTTGTATGATGTATCTCGGGTAGAACAAGATTTTTCTGTATGGGTGATGGAGGAGTATGGCATCGTGGAGTCATGGAACAAACAATTCAACGTTCATTTCAACGATTTTGGCGGAGGATTTATGAAACCATTGTGGGTTAGAAAAGATGGTGAAGTTTTAATAGTTACAAAGGATGGCTCTTTGGTTTCTTGTGATTCCAATGGAGAACAAGTTACTGATCTTGGAGTCAATGGCTCTAGATCGGAGGAATATTTGCGCTCTGTTCACTTCGATGGTTACATCAAGAGTCTGGTTCTCTTAGAGAAAGGGCCTCATTTCAGTGAATCGGTCACTTTGAGGAAACTACCATCTTTGCAGAGTGATGATTGTGACTCTGATACTGATGGTGGAAGCGATTACAAGTATAGCCATGAAGTTAATACGAGCACAGGGCAAAATATTCAATTCCGTGCATAGCAGTATAAGGGAATCTGAGAATAGCCGTAAAAGGGATTCAAAGCTTGTATTGATTCCGATTGAAGAATGAACAACAAATATAGGTCAATGAACCATTGCTCTGGTTATTAAAATAATCATTTTCTGCTGCTTCGTTGTGTTTAGGTACATTTGATGTGGTGGAGCTCCAATAGAAGCATGTGTAATCTCACTTCTATATCGTCTAGAGCATCTCAAATTGTGGTGTAAAAGATATCTAAACTGTGATATAGATCTCCAAAGTGGCCTAAAATCTCTCAAATGAAGAGATGCAAAGGAAATGTAAATTGCATTTCCGGCAGAAAATGTAAAAAAAGATAGTCTTTTTCGGCTGGTTTTTATTTTCGGGTTTAAGCTTTAACTTCCAAACATGTTACTGAATCAGATTTTTAATCAATGATCTTTCTTGCTGTGGCAAATATTTTGTTTTATTCTTTCCTGATGACATTGATTGGCCTTTAGCTTATCCAGAAATTATTGGCCTTTATCTTATTTGAGTTTGGAGTAGTGTCTATTATTGGTTGAAAGGTTCTATCCATTATCTTGTGGAGTTTGTCCTTGTATATGTATATCAAGGGTTTATCCATTTTGCCAGGGCCAGGGGACCAGCTCGCCCCCCTGTGATGAGGGGGTGGGAGACAATATCCGTACATCCCTCTCCACATAATACAAATTTCAGTAGAATTTTTTGTGAAAATCTTAAAACGTTTTCCCGTTGAAGTGTTACCAGGATTCAGGCTGGACACAATGGTTTGGTGCTCGGGCTGAAAATTCAATTGAGAAAAGTTTTAAATCGTTATTTCATTTATAATTATGAGCATGCGATGTTCAGCCACTGTAATAATGTAAGTTACATGTTTGCATTGAGAAACACAAATAAACATAAATCGTATATCTATTGCGAATCAATTTTTCCCAGGCTAGTAAATAGAGGTGGTAATTTATTATTTTCAGGTCATACGGTCAAATACTCTACCATCTACCAATTGGGTTATGTGGTTTATCTTGATCATGACAAAAGTTTTATTAGGAGTAATAACATTAGTATAGTGAGCATATCACGCAGTATATTGAACATGACAACATGACTGCGCGTGCAAATTAATGCACAAGTTGTCTTGTGGATTACCTTAATGTGCTACAGAGTAGTGGTTGCTAGTTATGAATTCACTTCGATTTGGATAGTTGGTTTGGGCTTTCACCCATTTTTCTTTTTTAAATAAATTAATTGTGTGTTTGGTTGGGGCACAAATTCGAATAAATCTAGCTTTTGTTATGCGTATCAATAAATAATAAATGTAAAATATAAAAAATAATGTTATTTACAGTCGCTCACTACGATAGTCGTCCTACGTGACATACACATAGCATGTGGTTATTTAATACACGAGTCAATAAAAATCTTCCTATTCGAATCATCCAGGGCCTCTTTAACGTCTTTCGGAACAAAGACATGGGTAATCGTAGGAGTAAAAGCTCTATGGTTATTGGAAAGTTTTGTGTAGGATAGGTGGTGCATATTCTAACTCCTTTCCTAACTGCTATAGGGAGATCAAGGTCAGATAGTACAAAATAAAAGGCACAGAAGGGGAGAGGACATGATTACGTGGACCATTGCTCGGTGATTCTAACTGGTCTTGTTCTAGGGTGATAGGTGAATTATTTTTCTTTGCTCCTCTTCAGGTATAAAACAGTAACTCCGTGTAGGTGTCGTTTATGTTTCTCTATTTGGCAATTGTGGACTAGTAACGTCTTTGTTTTCAGAACCTTGGACAAATATTTCGGGTTGTGAGAGACTAAGGATAGGAGTTGAGTTTAAAACTGTAGTGGGTAGTGGATTAGGAATCCAAAAATTTTCTTCTGCTACGACTATCTCCTCCTTATTGGAATTTTTGGTAAAAAAAAAGGTTGATTTTCCAAAAAAGAGACATCCATGCTGACATGAAATTGTTTTGTTGTAGGGTTGTAATACTTTTGTTTGGTGCATAGCCAAACAAAGAAAAAAAAAACACACACACACCCGCACACTTTTCAGCCCTATGATTAAGTTTGGAACAAAATTTGCTAGGTATATGAACAAAAATTGTGCAACCGAAGACTTTGACCTGGAGATTTGCATGTATTCTAGATGTTGAGAATTTTTATTTATTTATTTATTTATTTTTTTTGGGGAACTGTCCAAGGCGTTACATATTTTAAAACATGTATAGGCAGCCGATTAATCAAATAGGATGCTGCTAAAGTTCATGGTTACTGTCAGTGTAATTTTCCTAAGTAAATTAATAGTATGGTTGTGGGATTCAATGGTAAGGAACTTATCTTTGAAGAAGCACATCACTTGCTGTCCGCTGTTAGAATGATGCCATTGCTAATACATGTTCTTGAGTATGCAGTTTTACACCATACGAGGGTGTTTGGTGGGGATTAAAATTAGATTTTTAGTAGATTGTGATAGAAGTTTTGGAAATGTTTAGTTGAAAAGTTGTGGGACCCATGAAAGATGTGGTTAATATTGATTGTTTGACTTGGATTAAAATCAGATTTTAATCTGGACCAAACACGATTCATTTTTTTTCCTAGCGACAATGAAATAAGCTTTTTTCCCGATAAGACAAAAAATTCACCGAAATTAATCACAAGATAAAATTTCATGTCACGCACGTCAGACGAAGATAAAAAGAAAAGGTAAAAACAAAGATGTGACCAAGGACAGACACAACCTCCTTGATTTAGAAGGAATAAAGAAACTTTGACAAAATTTAACATCTAGTTGTTATCATTTTGGTTATGGAATAAAGAACAATGATGTGAAGTGTTAACAACAGAATACGAGGAATCTTACAAGGGAGGTCTTAAGACATTGAGAAAAGGCTAATTAGCACGAAACGTTCCTATCTTTAGAGTTGATTTTGAAAATCGTCTCTACCTTTCATTTTTTGGCATTTATACCCTTACCTATCACTTTTCGTGCGTTGAACGTCCTTTTCACCGTATTTTGACCATTTTACCCTCCATTCAAATAAAATAAAAAGAAAAAA